TTTGTGAAGTCCGTCACATGCTAATCACTGCCTTTGCGCATGCGTCCTGCAACATCTTTCTTTTTCAATTTACTGTCTTAATAAGACCTCCTCTTCCCAATCATGCAAACTGGTAGTCAAATGAATTGTATGCACACGATTTGACCTCATCTACTCCACAACTTCCACCTGTCCCTCATTCAGTTCAACGCTGCAACAACTTCTTATCAATTGCACGCATATTCAACGTGCGATTCAAGTGGTGCATCTCTCGATACTATGCACACCACTTTCACACCACTCTTCCACCCTCTCTCCTCCTACTTCCTACAAAACAACCTCCACCCCTTTTGGCATTGCCTACACCATCCAGAAAGGAGTCATGGTGGTGGAAGGTGGTAGTATTAGCAGAGGACAGATGGTAAGCTTCTCCATCCCTCTCACGTGAGTTGTGCAGACACACCCTCTCTTCGACACCGTCCACTCACTGCTCCAGCTACACATCTGCAGCATCTGCCACATCGTGCGCTGAACACTAGGCTTACTCGACGACGTGTGTGCGCGCGTGCATGCGTGGACGAATGAAGTTGTGGCGGGACCCATTGACCCCATGCCACCTGACGTAGTTGAGACATGTGCAAAGCGGGTGAGAGTCTGGCAGCATTGAGCACAAGACCTCATATCACTGCAAATTCCACCTCTGAGGTGATTTACACGGAAAGGCGTTGGGAGTCATGATGACGATTGTGGCAGTTCTTCAAGTAATGACAATCACAAATAACTTGGCGTTTAATGTATCGGCACTCATGTGGTTATTTAAATTTTAGCCTGCAAGCCTTGCCATTTCCTCCTAGTATTCATACCCGCCCTTCTTGCGTAACCTAACGGGAAGACAAAATTTTTGTCAAGGACACAGCTGAATAGTGAATGGTATGTTCAAAAAAGAAATATTTTTTTGCTCTTTATCAAGGCAATATACGAAACGTGCCTTGTTGTTAATGCTGAGGACAATCATGGCACAACTTTCAGTAGCACCAGGTCCGTACAATGGAATAGCTGGTATTTGGAGCGAAGAGGCAGGACGTATCAAACTTTACGAATGCTAGACCTGGCTATCAAAGAGGTAAGCTCAGTTGGTAATTTAGTGGCGTCCCTGTTACGTGATTTGTTGAAGCCCAAGAAATCAATAAACTAGGGTGCAAACAAATCGATAGAGACTTCCAACGCCCCCGAACGGCATTGACGTGAGCACATGAGTCACTTCCTTTTTAAGCAAAATTAAAATTCTTGCCGAAATGGCTTCCATATGCACATAATGGTTAGGTCTTTAAGGCAAACGGACAACAAACAGCCTCTACAGAAAGGGAAGAGAACAGAGCAGTTAGAAAAACGGTAGTAGAAGCAACAATAGTTACAGAGATGGATATTTTAGAATTTAAGTCGGGAAGTACTCACCCCAGTCGAAGAGCGTTTCGGCTAAAATTAGAAAAGGCAAAAGGGGACGAAAAAGGTGAATGTGTAGGCGTGCTTAAATGGTACTTGGAATGCATTATTAATTAAAGGGTAATGAACACCTTTTCTTGTCTCAAAGTTGTTGACATACAATTTTCTCGGTGCTAACATTGCTGTTTACGAGTTGAATTTGGCTTGAGGAGGCGCTTACTTCATTGTAAAAGCCACTAGAGCGCAGAAGACGACAATGGCGTCGAGTATGTTCCAAGGATCACGACAGTAAGCGCCTGGATGCAGTACGACACCCAAATCAATCACCTAACATAAAAAAAGAGTTCCAAATAATTGTTATCCAATTGGTGGAACATTTTCATTGTAAAACCAATCAGCAATAGTTTTTGAAGCAGGCGAGCTGAAGCCCTCCGCAGACTGGGGGATTTATCCTCGACTCAGTATTGTCTCCGTCTGCCATTTATGTCACATTTTCACGATTTCAGCATATCAACCAGTAAAGCTGCCACTTCAAGGTCAAAATTTCAAAGCTAAGAGGTTTCCAAGCTCAAAATTGCCTTTGGTTTGAAAGATGAGATTTTACTACCCCAACCTTTCCTTTCAAAGTAATTTAAATCGCACACTTAAAGGATTACCTTGAGAACCATCTCTACTGTGAAGACACCTGTGAAAGCGTAGTCAAAGTGCTCGAGGATTTTGTTTTTGGTGGAGTTTTCGGCAACGGGATCTTCGGCGGCAAGAGCGATACTGCTGGCGCAAATCACGATCATAATAAAGAGATCAAAGTAGCGAAGATTTACCACAAAGTGGCAAAATCGACGAATTCTGTAAATTAAAATGCATAATTAGGATTTTTCCGGAATTTTAATATCCATCTCCACAGGAGGTCGCCATCACATTAAACCGAGGCGACGTGGGAGAGCTGTTGCACTTAAACATAGCCGCTTTCCTAACTTCTTCGTAGGCATTATGAGGGATCATTTGACCTCTACTTCAAGTATGACTCAACCACTAGTTCACATTCCATCTAACACCGAAAGAGCAACTCATTCTTTCGTCGTGTCGAGAAATGATGCCGTCATAAAACGGTTTCTTGGC